CCGGGGCCGGCAGGATGCGGAGCCCCCGCACTCACTTGGGGTTGGAACTGTTCCAGAAGACCGGGTGCCGGTCCGCGGCCGCCAGCCAGCAACACAACCCGAGCAGGGGCGCCCAGTGCAGCGCCATGGGGCCGGTCAGTGGCTCGTTGTGTGCCGGGCAAGGCGCCCCAGCGCTCCGCCTTATGTACCGGGACCGCCCTGGGCGGGAGGAGCCGGCCCGCCCCCAGCGCAGAGACACAACAACACGGGGCGGTTCAACACATGGGGTGTGTAGTCAGAGCAGCACAATGCTACACAAAGAAACACAACAACAACACAGAGCAACCCCTGGGCAGTAGGACAACACCACCACCACACAGAACCACACACCAACACATGAAGGAGAACACTTATAGCAACACACCACCACCACATGGGGCAGTACACTCAGAGCAACACACAAAGCAGCACAACAGCAACACAGAGCAATACACCCATACAGAGCAAACCAAAATCAACACAGAGTAACACAATAGCACATGGAGCAATACAGTCACAATATGGAGCAACATAACAACACACACACAGCCACAGAACACACAACACAATGATAATGCACCGCGTCACACACACAGCTAAAGAACAGCACCACACTAGACAACAGGGAGATAGCAAAAGGACAACACACAGAGACACTTATGGCAAAACAACCCAGAGAGTGACACACACAAACAGCCATACCACAATAACACACAGTACAGCACAAGGCAACACACACACACACACCCTGACACACAGCAGCTCACACAGTAACACAAACCAGGCACCTGGGAACACGGCCGCGGGAGCTGGGTCTGATCTCTGGGGGTAGGTTTGTGTCCTGCGCTGGGTGCCCACACACGGCTCCCCAGCGCCCGAGCGAGCACAAGCCCGGCACTGCGGGCAGCCTGCCAGCCACTCGGTCAGGGGTGAGCGCCAGGCTCCCAGCTGAGCCCCAGCTCTGAGGTGCCCCGGCGGCCCTTGCTCGCTGCAGGGATACAGGGCTCCTCACTTCCTGGCCAGACAGTCCTGGCCTGGTGCTGGGCACCGATTAAGGCCCAACTCCGGCCCCACTGAAGCCAGTGGGAGTTTTGCCAGTGGTTTGGCTAAGCGGGTGGCCTTAGAACTGCTACCCCTCCCTGGCCCGGAGGCGGCTGCATTTCAGTGGTGGGTGAAGGGATCCTGGGGAGCGGCTAGTTGGCCTGCAGGCAATGCCTGCCTTCCTGCTGTCCCTCCACACCTCCCAGAGAACCTGCTTTATCTGATGTGTTTTGGGGACATCAAAAACATCTGGATAAATGGGGCTTGGGGAGCAGCTGATAAGGTGCAGGGGACAGAGCCGAGATTCTGATAGGCAGGCGGCTGGATAACAGGCACCCACCTCCTTTCCCCCCTTATCAGCCATGTCTATTCTCTCCAGCCACAAACATGCCAGCTCCCCCACCCCCTCCTATTTGCTCTCCATTTGTTTGATATTGTGCAATGCCTTCCCAGTAGAATCCCTTTGCCAAAGGGAGATTGCTCGGCCTGGGGCTGGGGCTTTGCAGCGCTGGGGCCCTTGGGGGAGCCATTCCCGCATCCAGGCCAGAGCCATGTCTCTGTAGCTGCCTGACAGGCGCATGGCTGCGTGCTATCACCTTGCATCTGCCCCGAACACCGATCCATTCTTGTTAAGCCTCGCCGAGCGATGCTTCGCCGGAGTGTTGTGAGCTGATAACTCAGCCAGGTTTGCAAAACAACTTTCCCCTTGTTTATTACATAATGAGCCATTGATTGTGGGTAATGTTGCATGCCCCACATGGCACAGGCGGCCTGGAGCTGGCGGCAGCCATGCTGGGATTGGTCCCTGGAGCCGCTGGAAGCTCCTGGTAAGACAACTTCACCTCTGAGTCTTGGCACCGTGGCTGTCACCGGGCTCCCTAGGGCAGCGGGTCCTGACACACCTTCCCACGCCAGTCACCTGCCACTGGGCCATGCCCCGGTCAGGGTCTAGCACCCAGATCCCACAGGGCATCCCTCGAATGTGCATGTCACGTGGGCAGCCGGATGCGATGGCCACAGAACGGGGCTGTTGGGGGCAGCCTGGAGCCAGGCCTTCCTTCCACTATCCCAGGGTCTGCGAGGTGCCAGATCCCCCAGATCCCACAGCAAGGGCCCCCCTGCCTGCCCAGACCCCAGCACCTGACCCGTCTGCATCTGCACCCAGGTACCATTGCTGGCTGCAGCTTCCCGTGGCGGGGGGCCCTCACCATGGCCTCTTTCATCTTCCCTATTCACAGCTAGCCCTGAAGTCAGCCCATAACTTTTAATCACTGCATTAGCAGGACTCCAGCTCCCACCAAGCTGGTGCTGGCTTGACTTGGGCTGCCCCTGCTTGCATGCATTTGTAATTTCCCAATAATGACCTTCGGGGTGGCCCGCATGGAGCGCAAAGTGCTTTAACCCTACATCCCCCAGGGCAACGGAGGGGTTAGCCCCACTGTACAGCTAACAGGGGAAACTGAGGCACAAAGTGGGGACAGGATCACACAGAGAGTCAGGGTCACAATAAGGCATAGAACCCAGGAGTCCTGACGCCCAGGTGCCCCCCTCCCCTGAACCACTGACAGAGCCCTGATGTCCTGGTGGTGAGACCGTCAGGAATCGAAGTGGTGGGCAAAGGGAGTTGTGAGACGACCTCATCATGCCAGCCTTTGCCCAGCTCCCTGGGCCTCTGCCCCGGGAAAGAGCCAGACACACTAAGCCAAGATGGGCCCCTTCCCGCCTGAATGCACCTGGACACCCCACGCCTGGGACGAGGCGCAGCCAGGCCCCCCACAGCACGGCCAGCGCTGGCACAAACAATGGGTGAGCTGAGGCCAGGCAGAGCCCGGCAGGTTCCCAGCAGCCCTTCCCCCGATTGCGCTGGGGCGACCTTCCCCCATGGCCAGCAGTAGCCTGGTGATAACGAGGATTTATGGCTGTGATTTCACTCCAAGGCCATCACGCCATGCACGCTTGCTGGGGGGGGCGGGGGAAGCTGGGGACCCACAGGCCTCATCATTTGCTCTGTGGGGGTGGGGGGGTAGGATTCAGGGCTGGGGGTGGGGGGACAAAGCCCCAAGTGAAGTGGGGATGGCCATATGGGGTGGGAGCTCAGGGCCTCATGGCGAGGCCCGTGCCCCATAGCAGGCGGATCAAGGGGGTGATGGTATGGGCAGCCCCTGGCTTTCCAATACAGGAGAGATTTGGGGTGCGCGGTGAGCTCCCGCCAACAAATCCAGAGGCCAGCAGTCTGGGTGCTGGCAGGGGGAGGGTGCCCCTCCCCGGTGCTGCCAGGGCAGAAGCAGCGCTGGGCAAAGCACATGAGCGGGACAGGGCTGGTTTGGGGTCACTGCTGCGTGGGGGGCCCAGCCCGGCTGGGTGGGGGTGAGGGTGAGGTCAGTGCCAGGGCAGGGCAATGCCCGCTCGGGCATGACGCTCTCTTCACATGACTCTCCCTTCACACGCTAGGCGACGTGTGCAGGACAAAGGTGAGCGTGCAAGGTGTAAATAGTGCGAGACATAAACACGACGTGCGGCACACACAGTGGGCGGTGGCCAAGGGGCCAGGGCCTGCGCTTTGCAGGCTATTTATAGCTTATCAGGTAGAGCAGACAGCCCAGGTGTGAGCTGGCCACTGCCGGCGGTGAGGTAACTGGGTCTGGGGGACATGGGGGGGCGTGGCGCGGGGGCTGTCCCAGCACCTAATTAGGGAGCAAAGGCCATGGCTGCTGCGTGCTCCGTGCAGCCAGGCAGGTCGCTGAGATCCGGGGCTGGCACTACATGGGAGCCTGCGCAGGGGGCGGGCCCCGGGAGGCATGGGGCGGGCCCAGGGAGGCATGGGGCCCGGGGCGGGGGGGCAGTCTCCTTGACGTGCCAGAGATGTAACTGGCTGACTGGTGGCTTGGTGCCCGAGCTGCCCTACAGGCCTTGCTGCCAGCCTGGTACCAGCAGGGCCCTTGTGCAAACCATTCCTCATCCCCCACCCAGGGTTACAGGGCAGCAGGGTCCCAGCCCGGGTGGGTCTGTGGCTCCTTCCCCTCCCCCTCCCAACCAGAGAAGAACCTGGGACCAGCTTCCCAAGGCCCCCCACCCCCCAGGTCTTCCCTCCAGCTCTCTGGGTAAGGCGGGTTCCAGACAGGGGCTGCCCCTCCCCATGAGAGCGAGGTTAGGGCACGTGTGCATGGTGACATGGGGGCTCCGAGCTCCTCAGGGCCCCCCCGGGCCACTCCCAGGGCGCGCACCATTCAGGGAGGTGACTCGTTGGCATCCCCGGGCAGCCCCTGGTCTGGAAGGGCCTGCCCGGTCCATACCCAGCTCACACCCATACAGGGGGTGCTGTGCCACTGAATTCCTGGGGGCCACGGAGCCCAGCAGGGCCCTACGGCTGCAACCTGCTCTGGCGTCCCGAGTCCTGCAGAGCGCATGGGGCTGCCCCAGGGCTGGGGGGCCCTGGGCCAGGCCAGGCTGGGGAAAGGAGCCAAGTTCCAGGCATGTTGCAAAAGGGATTTTGCAAGTGGAGCTGCTACTCCCCCCAGGACCTGTAACTCAGCTCCCCCCACTCCCCAGCACCAAGGCAATCCCCCCCCCCCCACACACACACAAACTGCAAATCGCAGGCTTTTCCCCCTGGGAGGCCTCTCCACCGCGGGCCAGGTGGGGATGGGGAAGGGGAGCCCCATGCCAGCCAGGAGGAGAGTGGGACGGCGGGAAGCAGAGAATGGCGGAGGCCGAGGGGCCAGCAGCAGGGAGGAGAGCGCTTGCCTCTCCTTTGTGAAATGACCCCCCTGGTTACGTCAGCAGCTCGCAGTCTGACCCGTGGACGGACAGAGGGCTGCATGCCCAGCCTGGCTTTGCGGAACCTGCTCCTTTGACTCCGCTCCCGGGGGAAGACGGCTCTTCCCGCCCCTCAAGAGGCTGCTCCCCCGCTGGGCGCTGGGCGGCCCCCACTATAACTGAGCTCCCAGTGGCAGGGCTCCCCCCGACACGGGGCAGGGAGGAGCAGGGTTATCCCGCCGGGGGGGAGGCGGGCGCTTCTGGGCAGGGATGAAGGGCCTGCCCGGTCCATACCCACTGGAGCAACAGGGGCAGCAGCACCCCCAGTCCAATAGCAGCTATGGGGTGCGCCCCCCGCACCTAGGCCCCAGCAGCGCTCAGCACCTGCTCGCTGGAGGAGCCAGGGGTGGAAAAGAAGTTTGTGGGGTTCCAGGCCAGGCCAGCCCCGAGAT